AGATCTCTTGGTACGTCTGCGAGAAGTCTTAACGGGTCGGTGTACAACACTCCCCTGAGCCAATCTGGGGATATAAAAACCAGCAGCATGCCCTTCATCATGACCCTGTGAAGCAGTCGAGGAATAAGCTTTAGGGGAGGAAATGGTGAACTGATTGAACTGGAGCCACCAGCACATCCCTGGACCTGGATACAAATCTGTCCAGTTTGTTGTTTGATCTGGAGATCAACATCCATCACCTGCAACAGTTGGAACTCCTCTGGGTGCAGACACCACTGGTCCAGATGCTGCCAACTGAGAAAAATCAGCCTGCCAGTTGTCCATGCCAGGCATAAACAAGACTGACAGTGTTGGACAGGATCCTCTTTGCCTCTTTTTCCACAGCCAGACTTCTTGTTCCTTCCTAATGGCTGATGTTCAACTGAATGTGGAGCAACCTGACAGGTTGGTCCAACTCTAGACAGATGTCCAAATCACCAAAAGCTCCAGTATATTCATCGGGAAGCAAGATTCTAGCAACAGCAAAGTCCCCTACATCAATACAGTGTGCAGGACTACCCCACACCCCAACAAGCTGGCATCTCTCATCAAGATTTTCCAAAACACGGGAAGGAATGATGTAGATATTCGAGCCAGATGCAGAAGTCAACGGGACAAAGACAGCTTGTCCTTGGTTTCAAAGGAATCAGCCTGTCCAAAGACAGGATCAATTTGTTCCACAGAATGTTGTGTTGCAGATTCCTTGAATAGAATTGAGCAAACAAACTGCCTCAAAAAAGGCCACCATGAAAGACTTTCTAAAATGGATGAGAGATTTTGTGGTTTAGCTGCCCCACCTCTCCACTCATCAATTTACAGAAAGCCTTGCATTTAGTGTAAAGAAATCAAGGCATTTTACAAATAGATGGGGAAGGGAGAGAGTGAGTGACTCTTCTTCATTAGATATTGCCTGAAACTGTCTGAGCGCAGGAAGTTCACAGCTGACGGAAGTATCGTGCAGGGATACTACATTTTTGGCATCGCCAGCCAACTTCCGGACCTAGTTGGCAAAGCATTACACATAATTGGACTAATCGCAATTAAAAAATAATTTTTTCTGGAGTTCTACTTTAAGGTCCACAATAGGGTGAATGCCCCTTTGGGAACGGTAAACAGGTTGGAGTAAAACCCTGAAAAAGTTCCACAGCAGGGACTGGGGGCAATGACTCCTTTGTTGAGCAGTCCAGAGAGCACATAATTGGCTGGGTGCTAAGAAGACACCAGGAAATTGAAACGAAAACAAGGAGGAGGCAAGGCAGGAAACTAAAGCTTGTAATCCTGGGACAACACCCTTTTGCACTCAAGCTGGGTTTGAAAGACTAAATGCCATCAGACGTAGCAAAACAAAGAAGGAGGACTTGTGAGCTTTCTCTTTAAGCTTCTACTGCTGGACAAGGTGAGTACTGTTGCCCCTAGTAGCATTCTTGATGACTGTATCCCAAGGATGACTCAAAGAGATTCCTTGAAGGCCAAGGCTTCTTGCAAGAGTGTTCTGTAGTTCAGCACTTCAGCCACAGAGCCCTGTGTAAGTGCACTGACCAATGTGAGATAGAGGGTGGGATGTGTAAAAGGAGGGAGGCCTTGGAGGTAGAAGTGACAGGCTGATCTTCCAGTTTTAGTGGATAGAGCACCGTATCAATAAGGGTCGAAAAGGTATTTTTCAATTTAGGAGCTAGCAGAAGGCTGCGACGTCTCTGGGTAAAGCTCATTAGTTAGTGACTTGCGCAATTCGGTATCGGATAGTATTTTCTCAGCCAGACTCAGAAGCAAAGCCACAGATATATCAGGCACCATGTCTACAGGGGACGATGGGCTAGCGCATTTAAGGCCTCTGAAATCAGGTTAAAAAATTAGCATAAAGTTGCAAGTGCACTGACCAATGCTAGACAGCAAGCATGAGGTTTTCAGCTAACCACCACAGCTAAAATTTAAAACTAAAGATACCTATGCAATCAATGATCTTCATGTCAATGTCGGCATCAGTCAGATTGCAATTAACGGATCTAACCCAATCAGCCATGGTCTGGCATAAGAGAACTACATGCAGAACTTGGAGAATTGATAAGAGCCCTAGAAAATGTTTTTGGTCTCTTATCAGTGGGGTCCTCTACTGGAATAGTAAGCACCTTGTTAAGATGAGAGATGACCAAATCCACAGCCAGAATGGACCATGTGACACGCTCTTCATTAAGATGGTATAGTGAGGGTGTGAAGAGAAAGTCTTGGAGGCCTTAGAAACCCTGTAAGACACAACACTGATACAAGCGTTAGGCTGATCTTCTTCTGGTTTTGGCGTGTAGCTCACAACACATCAATAAGAACTGAAATTATCTTTTTCAATTTAGGAGCAGTAGCAGAGGACTGCGACTCATCGGGGTAAAGCTCATCAGCTATTGAGTTGCACGATTCAGTATCAGACCGTATTTCCACAGGCAAAGACTCATAAGCAGCAAAGGCCGCAGATATATCAAGCATTGTATAGGAAAAGGTGTGATGGTGCATTTGAGGCCTCTGCGAACGGGGTTACAAATTAGCTTGGAAATCCGCAGTTTAAAAGTCATGACTGTAGAGAAAACCCCCTCTGAAATGGGCAGGCCCAGCAACATGAGATGGGGCCAGAGGACTCCATGGAGGCGATAGACTTATGCACTACCAGGTAAACTGACTTCATGCTACAGGCATTAGCAAGATTAGGGGCATGTTGCAAACAAACCCCAACCCGCTGTGGGCAGTGTAACCGGAACAACTGGTACAGCCAGACTGTCTCTGCGTCTAGAATCAGACACACGAGCCACAAATGTGTGGTGTTGGTATGCAGAAAAACGCAGCTCAAAAGACATTGTGTGAACCAGCCTTAAGTCTTTAAACCAGTGGAGCTGAGAAAAGATGTCCATCCACCTAGGACACTAGCAAAAAACTGAGGCATTTTTTGTTTGCCAGTGCCTAATCCAATCCTGCTAATTGGTGGAATTACCCAAAGCGTTAAGACTTCCTGTGCCGTTTAACCCTATCGCTGCCAAGCCCTCCAGCTGGCCACACCATTTTTGAAATTTTCCTATTTGATTTTCTATTGCTGCATTGCTAGCGTTTGTAAAAGACACCCCAAGCCATATATTTTCTGAAAGCACAGGCCTGGCAGAATCAAAAGATGGTGCTACTAATTTTGTAGGTGCCATAATTGCGCAAATGTTTGTCAAATCGGTTTTAAACCAATAAAAATAAATAATTAAATCGATAACAGCACACTAAAATGAGTATCAGTGCACAGAAAAAAAATACTTTTCCGACTAAATCTAAAAGGTAAAACTGTATTGAGTTAATAAATAACAAATATTTGTAAGTTTTAATTTGCGCCATTTTGCAAAACGGTAAAAAAAGAAGTATTGCAAAACTGTAGATAAGCAACTTATGTTAAAAATCGTTTATGTACTGTGCTGGTGTTTGTGTTGTGATAAAATGATACAGGTGTTCATTTAATCGTAACACAGCATATCACAACACATGGCAATGCATCACAACGCTTTGTTATGCACTGCCATTAATTTTATTTTAAAAAGCAAACAATCAAGCACTGCGATATGTTCTAACACACTGCAGCGCATGGCGTACACTCCAACATGGTACACACTGTTGTATGTGATCTGTGTGGGGGGTTGTTTTATTTTTTTATAATTTCTTACTGTTGGGGGGGATGAAATAGACAAAGACATTGAGTCATCAATCTCCTTTTCTGCAGCCTCTGTTGTGAATGAATGGACAATGGTGATGTATTTTACGAGTTTGTGGTGTGTGTGTGTCTTATGAGTGTGCTGTACAGTATGTGTGTTTATGAATGTGTGATTATGTGTTTGTATCTGTGAGTGTATAAATGTTTGAATGTGTGTGTTTTTGGCTAAGGCAACAAAATGGAGCCTGCCGGTCATGATCTTCTGATACTTCTGGATGTTATGATAGCTCTTCGGCTTCCCTATGCCTCGCTAAACCAGGACAAGTACGCAGTCAGTGAAATCAGAACTCCTGATCTGTATACTTGCTCAGGGCTAGTGAACCAAAACACTGAAGCCAGAGACCTAGCATTTTAGTACATTAATGGCAGCTATTTTATTCATCCCTCATGTTTCCTTTATACACCAAAAAACAAGACCAAACACTTTTTGGGGAGGCCAAATTGGTTTATTTATTTTGACAGTAGCCAATTCATTTATTTGGGAGACATTTTATTTTCTGTTCTGCTTCAATTTAAAGACTTTCAGTTTCCTTACTGTTGTTGTTGTTTTCATTCACTGCATTACAAAGACAGTGGACACAAACATGAACTTGAATTTCATGTTGTAGAGATGGTTTTGCAAACAGTAATAGAATTCATAGAACTGTTAAATGTCTGAGGCTTTAGCAGCTATACACGTGTTAGGAAATGTCTAGAATAATCTCTCTTTGGGATTGGAATGATGCTTCTTTAGGGATTTGTATAATTCATTTAGGAATTTAAAGGGCCGGTTCACACCATAAACAATGCATTCCAGAGCGGTCAGGCTCTGGAACACACTGCACTGTATTACAACCCGGCTGGCTCCCTGCGTTAAGGGGCTGAAGGGGGCGTGGCGGTGCATTGAAGTCAATGGCATTGCAGCCATGCCCCCGCCCGCAGTGCGATCACCCGCACCCAAACATGTGGCACATCGGTGCCTGCTTTCCGGTACAGTGCGATCTGCAAAAATAGTGCTTACAGCATTTTTGCAGATCGCATTGGACCAGAACGCAGGAACTAATGTGCCACGTGTTCTGGTGCAGTTGATCGCACTGCGAGCGGGGTGTGTGGCTGCGCTGCCATTGACATCAATGCACTGCGATGCACCCTCCCGCCCCTGAACACAGGTAACCAGCTGGGTTGCGATCCAGTGCGTTAAAGAGGCTGGCCGCTCTGGAACGCAATATTTGTGGAGTTAACCGGCCCTTAAAAGGGAGACTTTCATATTTAATTTCACGGCACATAAGCATTTCCACTTTACATACAAAAACGCCTAGCTTTTTGTAAGGTCAAAATACATCCTTTTATAACAAAACTAAATTTACTTGTAGTATAAACAATGATATACACATATTACACTGTGTACACTATTTACACAACCATACAAAATAGAATACTGGACATTTGTACAGAAATGTAAAATGCAAGTCCCATAAATGTTCTTGCAGGGAGGGAAAAAAAAGCTTCTTGCAAAATGCTGGACATAATTGTTCCATTGACAAGAGTACAGAAAGAGCATCAAAAAGACGGGGCGACTACAACTGGACTTTCAACAGGGTTTTCAGGTGGTAAGTCATCAGCTCCTTGCACTGATTGGAATGCTGAATGGTCATGTCCATCCAGTGACTTGGTGGCTTTGGAAGGACACTTGGGGAGGGCGGGTCACTAAACTTTGCTCCTGCATAATTGATTCCTTTTTCATCGCTAGTGCAAATGTCTTTTTTCGACTTCATGTTCTGGACATTTTCAGTGCTCGTTAAGGGTTTCTTTTCAGTTTTTTGAACTGCACTGTTGGCAAGCTCAGAATCAGTTTGAAGCCTTTCCGTTTTTCGTGGGGAATTGGTCTTCGTATGCTGAACATTAAGTTTGTTTTTCTGTTTGTGAAGATTCCATTGTTCACAACGATGTACTGAAGGGCTATGGGTTGTTGTTGTACTGTTCTTTTCTGATTTTACCGTCTTCTTTTCGGTCTTTACTTTTGTCATTAACCCCTATAAGGAATACATCAATAAAATATTAATACTCAGAGTTATAGACCAGGGGTAGGCAAGCTTCGGCCCTCCAGCTGTGGTGAAACTACATACCCCATCATGCATCTGTCTCTGGGAGAAAAAGAGTCTGCTTGTGTCTGTGAGAATCTTATAATGTCTCATGGGATTTGTAGTTCCACAGCAGCTGGAGAACCAAAGTTTGCCCACCCGTGCTGTAGACAGTACTCATGTGTTAGGCCCCGTTCACACCTGACCGCTTTGTAGCGCGTCCTACGCCCGACGAACGCTCTACAAAACGGTCAAAAATATAAATTGCATTGTAGTCAATGCCCTCGTTCCCACCTAGGCGTATTTCCGCCCTTCCCTAACGCCCTACAAAACGGCCCACGCCGTTTTGTAGGGCGTTTTCCATTGGGATACAGCCAAGTAGCCTTTGGAATCGCGCGACTTTTTTACCGCGAATCGCGCACACTGCCCGTTTAGCATTGCAGTCATCGGAAGACCGTCCCTCAGGGGGGCGGGCTTGCGATGATCGCAAGTACGATCTGCCTGTCCAAGATGGGCAGATCGTACGTTTTTTTTAAAAAGTACTTTACAACCCTCGCAAGACAAAAGTCTTGCGAGGGTTGTAAAGTGTATGGGCACCTTTTAGGGTTCTGACAAAATCTGAGCAATGTATGGTCAGAGGACCTGCCTCCTGAGGCTGCTACACAGGTCATATAATGAAGCCCTATTACTACCAAGTTTTTCCTAAAGCCAAGTACACACGGAACAAATTTCGGCGGATTCAGTAGGAATTGGCCAAAATTCGCTCCAGTGGTGACCTTATTGGCTTGGCAGAAGTTGAATAGATTGAAATTTGCCATTCTTGGCAGAACGTTGCTTGTAGCCAATCAGCAGCAAGCACCATTCAGGTATTCACAGAAGGAGATTCGTTCATCCACTGTTCAGTGTGGATAGAGGAATCTGTTATATATTTTTCGTTCAGGACGCAGATTGAACAAAAAAAACATAAAAGTGTACAGCATGGGTGGGCAAACTCCAGCCCTCCAGCTGTTGTGGAACTACAAAGATTCTCACAGCCACAGGCTTGACTCCCAGAGACAGATGCATCATGGGATTTGTAGTTTCACCACAGCTGGAGGGCTGGAGTTTGCCTACCCCAGCTGTACACCCTACTTAATTATGGAACCTTTTCATTCAATGATGTTAACCGCTCTAAGGAGTCAGTCAGACAGCTAATGTTTGTGTAGTGTGGAGTGATAAACAAAGAGGAATACTTACCTTATTCCTCACTCCTCCGAGAGCTGGCGCTCTTCAGGG